TCAACGGCCGTTCCTGGTAAAGTACCTCCAGTGGTTACTCCAGGTTGACCAGGAATAGTACCTCCTGAACTGACGACTTTTCCACTGCTGTCAACTGCCGTTCCTGATAAAGTAGTGGTTACTCCAGGTTGACCAGGAATAGTACCTCCTGAACTGACGACTTTTCCACTGCTATCAACGGTCATTCCTGGTAATGTTCCTTCACCTACTTCTGTCGTTGTGTGTCCCAATTTCTTCATAAAACCGTTCTCTCCTTCCTTCATGATAGTCTCTTCAGCTTCTTTATTCAAAAGGCCATTTTTYCCCAACTCTTCTAAAAGGACTTTCTGGTTTTCTTGTTTAAGTAATTCCTTGCCTTCGTTGTTGAGCATGTTTTGCTTCTCAAGATTCTTCAAAACCTCTTGTTTATTCTCATCGGTAGCTTTACCCTCTATTTCTTTTTCTTTGTTGACCACTTCTTCCCCTTGTTTGTTTAAAAGCCCCTTTTCTTTCAGTTCATTAATCATTTCTTTCTGCCCTGGTTCTTTTGCAATATTTTGGGCTATTTCTTCCGTGGCAGTTTTTGTTTCTCCTGTTAAGATATTCATGGCTCCTTAACAATATACAATGGATACGGTTCTCCATTTTTCTTCCCTCCGTACAAAAACCAACTTCGTATAATTCCAATTCGATCATGGAACGAGGGCCATAGTTTATTGTTATTCTCGTAAAAAAAAGGATGACTTATTTTTTTTCGTTTTATTTGTAGTAGCTTACATGAGCTGTGTTGTTAGTTATTAGTGCAATTTATTTTATTTTATCTTATTTTTACCGTTTTATCCAAAACAATACATTCAGTGACTGACAAAGGATTAGTGTAGTTAAGGTTATGGGAAAAAAATTTCCTCTTAATCAGCACTTAAACGTCAACGGACATGGAATAATTTCGACATTTAAACTTTGAAATTAAATAACTTTGCATCAAGGCAATATATCACAAAACCTTTATTGAAAAAATGCAGGTTTTTTGGGGGGCAAATGCAAATCACATGATGATCATATAAAACGATAATCATGGAATGTGCCTGGTTTGTTAAAAATTGTCAATTATCGGCATTGTTTTAGAATGAAATATTTTGCGTTAGGAAATGACACGAGGTCCGAACATGGAAAAAGTCAAACATAAATGGATTATGTTTTTTTAATGGAATTCACGAACAGGCTCCCCAACAGAGGATTTGCACCATCACGTGATGACAGCCATGTTGGATGGTAGGAACAATATAATCGTTTTACATGAGAAAGGGATTCTATTGTTCTGAAATCTAGGATGGTACCCAGTACGTGATGATGCAAAACCTCTATTTCAACAATTCCACGACTAACAGGCAATATTTTTCTCCCGCCACAGGGAGCCCAATTTAAAATAAAAGTGAGAGGTGAAAATAAAATCGGAAAATCTAAATAATTAATTATTGCAAGAGAGACCACTAYTCCAATCCTTTTCCTGGATTCTGAATTTCAAGAGGGTTATTCCCCAAACGGATGTAAAGATATCTATTTCCAATTATTAGGGAGTGAATTAGCCCACGGCATAAAAGGTTAAAAGTGTTGGAAGTATTGGAATAGATAGTAGTATTACTAGTTATTGTTTTCAAAATGTTTTAATCAGTGTCCTGGTGAAACAGTAATGATAAAAGGGTAAATTATACACCGTGAAAAGATGAAAAAACGTACTCACGTTTCGGACGCTAGTCCTTCGTCGGAGTAAAAGAGAAAGAGGTGGTAGAAAGGAGTGTATATATGATAGAATAAGACAAAAGAAACCAATGAAAACAAGGTAGGCAAGGAAACAAAAACAAACAATCAAAAGACAAAAGAAAGGGTTAGTTGAAAGTAAAGCGTTCATGAATCCCGTTGGGACTAAGAGTGCCCAATAGGTGAATAGTGTCCTGGTGATTTTAGAGTGTCGTTGCTGTTTCTGCTGCTGTTGTTTTTGTTGCTATTGTGCGCGCTGTTGCTAATGCGTTATGTTACATTGATGTGCTTAAATACCTATATAAGCCCTAATTCGTACAATGAATATTGACAACTTTAGGGGTACAGTGTTCTATTGCATCTGTCTCTATCTTTGGTGGTGATACTGACAAGTGCTAAGCATTGTAACCACATTTATCTAAGCTTATTTATTTTTTAACTTACAAATATCAATATTTATTATTATTATTATTTCATTTTAGCCTTTTTAATTTATTAAGAAAATTTTTTTCTTTATTTATATTTGTCTTGGTTTATTTAGTAACTTCATTTTTCGTTTGTAAAAAGTAATTCATTTTATTTATTTATTTATCTTTATCTTAGTTATATTAGTATTATTTGTTAAAAAATTATAATACAGCTTTATGTAAATATGTATATATTTATATGTTGAACAAAGCTTTTCTTCTATGACAGATTTTTCAATATATCACATATATATTGAATATATATCACTATTCCTCCAACTCATTTAATCTAGCTGTCTCAATTGCATTTAAGTATGTTTGAAAGTGAAATCTGTCGTAAATGCACTTACCTCCACCACCGATACTGGATCCTCCACCACCACCGATAGAGCCACCTCCTCCTCCTCCGATACCGGCGCCGCCTCCTCCTCCAATACCGGCGCCTCCTCCTCCACCACCTGCTCCGCATCCTCCCACTGCCGAAGGAAAGTAAAATAAGTTTCTATATGTACCAAATTTAAAATGTTAGACACTCGATTATCAGGAGATGGAAGCAGAAAGTTTTGAGACATTAAAAGACATTGATCATTTAGTTCTTTTTACAATTCTAGTTCTGACTTTGTAGGACGTTGGATCATGAGGTTAGGGTCAAGGTTGGGGAGAAATTCAAATTTTTGCAACCACTGTTTTTGATGACATAATGAAGATATATTTTGAGCGCCTGAAATCAAGAACTGCTCCAATGTTTCGTCCTAAATCCATGTACCAAATTACCTCAGATGGTACGAAATAGCACTTCCTAAAAGCTTACCTTTTCTGATTAATTCCACACATTGACCTGAAAGCCCTGATAACGCAGAGTAGGATGCAGCCTTCAGAATATACTCCTGTGCAGACGCCATGATATCTATCTGTTCCTGGTCGTAGCCACCTCCCATGGCAACACCAATAATTTTGACACCAATTTCTTTAATTGCACTCGATGGCGCCATGACAGAATCAGTAGATCTCCCAGCAAACATTACTACCAATATACGTGATGACCTAGCGTTTGCGAAGACGTCGGTTTTACACGTCGTCAATGCTGCGCCGGCCGTGCAGGTCCCTCCAACCATCTTCGCACCCATGACCGCCGTTCTTACATCCGCAAATGCTGTGTATTTCTCAAAGTTGAACACGACTTGAGTCGAGCTTCCAAATATTATGAACGCGACTCTCATCTGAGCGGAGACACCGATCGCTTCAAAGACTGCGACGACAAAAGCCAGAGCCAACTGGAAATTCGCATCTCCCTCGATACTTGTAGAGGAATCCAAAAGAATTGCTACATCACAGCCTAGATTTTATCACAATGCAAAAAGGAGAAAATGTTAGTGGCAGGCAATGTTTTTCTTGGCCCCATAATCGATTTTAATTGATCATTATTTTAGCTTGAGAAAGCGATGGAAATCAAGATTTCTGTCGCAGACTCTAAACATCGCTTTGATGGCAAACATGTGGACATATATTGATTTAGTAAGTAGTGCAGTAATAGTGTGAATAAAAAGCCAAGGATGACATATGTTACCTGAACCTCCAGCTCCTCCACCAGCTCCTCCACCAGATCCTCCACCAGTTTCTCCACCGGCTCCTCCACCGGCTCCTCCACCGGCTCCTCCACCGGCTCCTCCACCGGCTCCTCCACCGGCTCCTCCACCGGCTCCTCCACCGACTCCTCCACCGGCTCCTCCACCGGCTCCTCCAGCACCACCCGTCAGTCCACCACCGCTAGCTGTGAATAAAAAAGAATGACACTTATATCAATGATTTGCCACGTGGTAAGATCTCAAAATGCAGATAGAACATATAACTTGGTCGTCGTAAAGCAACGCAAAACCGGGAATTAGGTTTATGAAGATAAATAAAAAAGCGATCCCACCATGCCCAAAAGCAGATGAAATTCCAGTGCGAAATACTAGGTACGATTTGTGGAGGATCCTAAGGCTAGGCTAATGAGTAGCCAGCAATGTTCATAAAAACATTTGACCCTGTCGTATTACCAGGCTGCACATGAGGATTAGACAAATCCCAAGGGGTCAGGGCATGCATTTCAGTCCCGGGGGAATCCTTCGTGCAAAGAGGGATCGCCGCGCGACTACTGAGTGACCAGAAATGCGCTTTTAAGAAACCAGGTTACTTTACCTTGTATTACCAGCTGCACACATTGACCAGATAGTCCAGACAACGACGAATACGAGGCAGCAACAAGCATATAAGACGACGAAGAAATCATGATACCAAGCTGCTCTTTACTGTAACTTCCACCCATTCCAATACCGATGATCTTGACTCCTGACTCTTTTAACCCACTTGCTCCAGCATCAATCGAGTCAGCAGAACTTCCCGCCAACATAACGATCAGGATTCTGGAAACTTCTTTCCGGGCACCACTGTACATTTCTCGGGCAGCCGACAAAGCGACTCCCGCCTTACATTCTCCACCAACCATCTTGGTTCCCATGACACTGGTTCTTATCTCTGCTATTGAACTATATTTTGAAAAGCTGAACATTATCTCAGCTGAACTTCCAAATCGTATAAAAGCAAAACGGATTTGTGCAGACACTCCTATTGCCTCAAATACCGCAATAATGAATGTCAATGTCAATTGGAAGTKGGCTTCACCACCGATACTTGTTGATGTGTCGAGCATAAAAGCAAGATCACAAGATCCTGTAAAATAGATAAATTGAACAAATGATTACTAACAAAAACTCCCAAAAGGCATTTACTTTAGGCACATTCCGCTTCCCAATTTCAAAAATCTATCGTTTGCAATGGAAGCACAGCAAAACCAGCCACCTATTACTTAGCCAACTTTTAGCGTGTTAAAAATTGTGTAAGTATGGTGAATGGAGGAAGAATTGAAAGAAGTTGTTACCTGATACTGATCCACCTCCACCTGCGCCACCTCCTGCGCCTCCACCTGCGCCACCTCCTGCGCCTCCACCTGCGCCTCCACCTGCGCCTCCACCTGCGCCTCCACCTGCGCCTCCACCTGCGCCTCCACCTGCGCCTCCACCTGCGCCACCTCCTGCACTCCCTCCGGCTCCTCCACTGGCGCTTATTCCTCCGGCTGGTAAAAAGATAAAAATTTAATTTTAATGTCAAAATAAAGGAGCCAACAACAATGTAGTAATGTCTTCAATTTTGGGGCTTATAGGTTCAGGCCCCGGCCGAGCCAGAATCAGGACAGGGTCTTAAAATAACGGAAAAGTATATATTGACTTTATTGGTTCGCGGGTTTAAGCCCCGGAACAACCCCAAGGCAAGGTAGGGTCTAAAAATAATGTTAACGAATTTACTGACTTTGGTTAAAATACCCGTTTATGCAATACCTTTGCTGTGGCTCGGATAGCCACGAACCTACCTGAGCTAACAAGCGATGTAACTTGGCCTTGAATACTTGTTAGCTGACTAAACGACGACGCAGTTATCACATATGATGCTTCCCAAGCCATTGCTGTTAACTGAGCTTGCTCAAACTTTGCTCCCATCCCCACGGCTATAGTTTTTACTTTCATTCCCTTCAAGGCACCAGCACCAGCACTAACATCATCTGTAGATTTTCCAGCGATCATAACGACGAGGACCATGGCAGCACCGCTTCGTGCGCTGGCGAAGAGAGATGACTTGCAGGTTGTGAGTGCTGCTCCTGCTGCGCAACTACCACCAGCAAGTTTAATGCTTCCGAATGCTCCCTCGATCTGAAATATGGGTCACACTGTTAAACTATGAACGTAAAAATACTTGGGTAGTATATTGGCATCCATCTTCCCTTGCTTCAGCTAGTCTTATGTTCCTTTATCTGTTATACTCAGAAGGTTGGTGGGGAACGGGGTGCCTGTTGTCAGTGCCAATTCTTTGTCTACCTTCTCTTAAGTTTCCAATTCACTTCTTCTTTAATTTTCCTTCTTAATTTCTTTGATATTACTCTTCACTTTCGCCGCCCCGCTTACCAATTATTCGTCTCCCCATTCCCCACTCCTCCCAGTCTGGTGATGTAATGTTTTTCCCTTCACCTGACCTTTTCTTCTTTTTGATTCTCATTCCCCTCCCTCTCCCCACTGGTGGTGTACTTTACCATCAAGCTGACCTTCCCTAATTGGTTAACCTTTCCCGGTGCCTACCTTCGTCCCTTTAAGTAAAAGAATTAAGGTTCGGTAGGCAAAAAAAAAAAAAAAAACCAATAAAAAAGTATGTAAAATTTTTAGAAAATCTAATCCTTACCTGAGATGCTGAGGTGTATTTAGCAAAGTCAAAGACAACAGTAGCTGAAGCACTGAACGTCACGAAACCAAAACGAACTACCGATCCAAGTCCGGCTGAGAAGGACATGAACACTGCCTTGATGAAGGTGATACATAGTTGAAGGTTGGCCTCAGACTGTATGCTCTCAGAGATGTCAAGCATAAAGGCTAATTCGCACTTTCCTGTACAAGAATCAAGGAAAAAACATGATGAGAATTACAACTTTTAAGTGGTGTTGAGGTAGTTTATATTTAGCTTGGAAATCATTTTCACTCATGGCGGATACACAAGAACAGAAAATTATACTTGTTTTTTTTTTTTTTTTTTTTTTTAGTGTGTGTGCTTTTCTGGAATACCTAAAATGGATTTCATATCTATTCCGTCCATAAAATATTCTTGGTTATCGATTTAAAAAATCCCCAAGAGAGATGTTTACTGAACATAATGAGACGTGTAAGGAAAAAATAATATCCTTACCTCCTCCTGAACCTATAAAGATAAATCAAAGCAAATGAATAAGTAAATAATGAAATAAAAGTTCGATGTTATAGTAAGCACTTATGACACGTGATTCGCAAAGCACAATTTCTAACAAAAAAGGGTTAATTTCTTACTCAGAGGTATGTCATAGTGATTAGCGTCAAGGCAACGCAACTTTACAACTCGGTGAACAAGTAATATAATAAGCAAAATAGCGCGCATTGTCACTCAATATTTCGACGTCATTTTTCTTTTTATAAAAAGTACCCCACGATACTTGTAATCCAAGAGGTAATGCTTCCCAAGGCAAAGCTGCAATGATTGTTTTTAACATTTGAGATATTAGTGGCGTCTCTTTATTTCGTGTTAATGTCAGTTTTTCTATGGTGTCCCATTCATTCGGTCACAACATTTCCTCCTGTCCTTCACGTACTTTGGTTCCTTTTTCGATTTCGTTTGTTCGATTCTATTAATGCGCTCTTCGTCATGCTGTCTCGTGTTTTAATGCGTTTTCAGTTCTTCCGTGAAAAATAATTCAGTATTTTTTAGTCGTCAACGTATATGTCCTTGGTCTGTTCTGTCGGACTTTGTATTGTCAGTCGTCCATGCATTCGTCTGTCGACAAATTGTCTGGTCAGCATATTTGGTACTTACTGCTTGCACTGGCTGAGCCGCCACTATCAGAACCACCGCCGGCAGCTCCACTACCAGCAGCTCCACCACCCGCAGAACCACCACCCGCAGAACCACCGCCACCAGCCGCTGAAGCGCCTCCACCACCACCACCGCTGACACTACCTCCGCTAGAACCACCACTACTCTGACTCGAGCTGGTTTTACTTGAGCTACTGACACTATAGCTACCACCAGAGCTAACGGTCCTGGAAGTGAATTGGGCTCCCACTCCACGCCGCTGTGCTTCACCATTGGCAGTCAAATGGCTTTTTAGATAATCAACGATACTGTTTGGAATGTCTTTTCCAGTTCCTCTTTCTCCTTCTGGATATTTCACTTGACTTTTAATGGAATTTTGCTCGTTTAATGAGCTGCTTTTCACTATAGAGTAGATTTCGTGTGAGGGAGAAAATTACGTTTAAGGAGGTTGGAAAGTGTTTTGTGCCTTCACATACACTTACAATTATGAAC